GAGCTGAACCAAAAATCTGAGGAGCAGAACACCAGCTGCTACATCACACCCCAAATGGAGGGTTATAAATGCTATAAATGGGGGGTTATAAATGTTAATGCCTGAGACTGTGGATAAATAAAAAAGGCTCAAGTATGGCACTTTATTTTTTGCAGAAGGAAGGAAAGAAAATATGCTAATTTTCCCTCACTTCATTATCCTTGAAGAAATTTCATCTAAGAAAATTCTTCCATTTAGCACATTTGTTGCAACATGAGGGAAAAACCTGAATTCCAGAGAAAATGTTTACTTAATACTTTTAATTTTGTCCTTTCACTAGTCCCTCCCTTTTTCCTCCTCCTTTGGCTGTTTGCGTTTTTTAAGCCCCAGTAGATTTTTTTTTCTGGTTTTTCAATGAGTGGAACTAATCCTTACCTATTTTGCTGTACATTTCAATACCCAAGGAATACTTATAAACTGTTTTGTCTAGCTCAAATCACTTGAAAATGTAGTTAAAGTGTGTAGCTAAATATGCAGATTATGTTAATTTGGGGGGTAGCCAACCACATTAACCAATTAGTAAATTGGACTAATTGGAGCATTTATCGTGACAGTTCAAAACGGAATTGAATGGAATGGTGGTTTGATCCAGTAATTGAGGGTCCATTCTGAATACCTCAGTCTGGGAATTCTCCCAACAGTACTTGGTTTTCCTTAGGCATAGAAAGCGCCACGTTTTTCGCAGTTTCAGTTAGCTTGCTGTGTAATTAAATCGATAGGCATTGCACTCTGTGGCTTCAGTTTAGAAGTGAGTGCAGCTCAGGAAGAGATCGTAAGTCTAGGTGTCATCCATTTAGGTACATTTACCAGTGTTGAGTCACATCAAAAGGTGAGTGAGGATAGCACGGGAAACTCCACTCAATATTTTATAATGATCTTTATGGGAAAGAAACTGAAAAAGAAAGGATCTATGTATATGTGTAAATGAATCACTTTACTGTACCCCTGAAACTCACACAACATTGTAAGTCAATTATACTCCAAGGTAAACTAAAAATTAACTGTAAAAAAGGTAAGTTAGATAGGCCCCCACTAAAACCCTTCTATCTTTGTTATTGCCCTTCTCAGCTGTAGCTTCTTAGATTTGGACTGTTACTTGGGTCTATTTGATAAATGTTCTTCCCCCAGGCAGCTGTTGTGACAGAATATAACACCACATGTCTAAGGACATTAAGCACTCAATGGCCTGATGAACATGAGATGATTGCTCAAATTTCTCAATGTATTTGAATTTTAAAAAAAGCAAAGCAATTGGCTGCTTAAACTTGGCTATTATTCAGAGTCAGCAAACAAGAAATAATTAAAATATGGCGTTTTTACTAGAAACCAAGGAAGAAATTGAATGAATTCCAAGTTGTTACAGTTTGTCATTGGCTTCATTTCATGACACACACTCCCCTTTTCATTCACAGTACATGTGCTTATTTTTAAAAATTGAAAGTAGGTCTGAATTAATTCTCAATTTAAAATTTAGGCAAAAAATTACAACTCAACATCACTGGACATGCCTGAGATTGATGTAAAGCTAGGAACAAGCATAAATAACTCTATAAATAGGTGCTTGAGGGCATATAATAATAGTCCAATATTCCTTTTGCACAGAGGGAGAAATGGTGATCTTTTCAAGTGTTTTACATTCCAATGTGTAAATTTTGTGGAAAAGTTTATTTCCTCTGTTCTATTTGGAAGAATTGTCCTTGGCCATTTTTCCTTGAACTTGCTTTTAAAATCTGTGCATAAAATTGATTTTTAGAATTAATAGACTTTATCTGAAATCAATGCTTTAGTTTCAGAATTTATAGTGTAGTCAGGATTACATTACTTTTATGAAAGGGAAAATAGAAATAGGCTAATTAGCTATCAAAATTAATTATTTTCCTCATTTTCTTTTCAAATTTTAATTTTATTCTTGGGTACTGTGCATAGATTGCTGTCCCATTGACTGCTACTAAGCAAATCTGAGTTAATACTGAGTCTGGTTCATTTCATTTAAAAAACAGTGCTTACATTTTCTTTTTTGAAACATTTATCACTGCTCAAAATTTAAGGACATATCCAAATTAAGAATTTCTGATTTTGTCTTTCATTGACAAACTCACCTTGTGCAAAAATAGGTAGAGACATGGATGTAGGGAACAGTCATGTGGATGGGAGTGGGGAGGGAAAGGGGGGATGAATTAGGAGATTGGTATTGATATATATACACTATTATGTATAAAATAGATAACTAATGAGAACCTAATGTATAGAACAGGGAACTGCACTCAATGCTCAGTGCTGACCTAGGTAGGTTTAGTCGCTCAGTCTTGTGAACCCATAGACCGTAGCCTGCCGGGCTCCTTTGTCCGTTGAATTTTCCAAGCAAGAATTCTGGAGAAGATTGCCATTTCTTTCTCCAAATCTTCCCGGCCCAGGGATCAAACTCGGGTCTCCTGCATTGCAAGCAGACACTTTTTACCAACTGAGCCACCATGGAAGCACTGTGGTGACCTAAAAGGGAAGGAAATACAAAGAGGGGTTATATGTATACATACAAATGATTCACTTTTCTGTACAGCAGGAATTAATAAAACATTGTAAAGCAATTATACTCCAAAAAATAATTAAAAATATACTTATTCATGATTTTAAAACTCATGTTTCTGTCAAGAGGCATTCTTGACATAGTACCAATACATTTTAACAAATTAATCACCTTGTACATGCTATCAGGCATAAAGCATTATGAGTGGACTTTGACTAAGGTTGGTATAGAGTTGCTATAATCAGAAGCATGGCACAGAGCTTATAAAGTGCGCAAGATGTTGTGCCAGAATGAGGACATTCATCCCATCATAATTTGATAAGTTAAAATTGAAGGCAAGGCAGAGAACAGTAAAAAGTATGTTTGTTGTTTGCACATCACTAGCTGTGTGACCTGGATAAGTTATGTGCCTGCTCTGAGCCTCCTGTTCTCAAGAGAGGGGCAAGTAAGTACCGGGGAAGTTTTTGTGAGGATTTACATGAGATAATTAATGTTAAGCACAAGATAGTGCCTCACTGATGAATAGAAGTGTGAAGGAGAGAAGATGTAAAGGAAAAAATTTGATTGCCTTTGTTGGCTACAAGGACATATTCATGCATGCACACAAAATATTAGCCAAAGCACATGAACAACTGTGTTCAGAACTCTGCACCATTAAATTATCTCCCAAGGCACTTCTGAATTTTAAGAAAACCAACCATCTTGCTAATTGAATGTTTACTAAAGAAACTTTGTTAATTTGTTAATTTTCTTTAATATTGATTCCATGTTAGAGTTAAGGATCTGTTCTGGGCAAAAACGTGTTTAGTACACTGCTCACCTGTTCCTATTACAATAAAATCATTATTGGTTTTTGCAGCCTTTTGCATAGTATCAGTTATACTTATTATTTTTGACACCAAACCCTTGGTTAGGAAACAAACCCAATTCTAACATGTTTATAATTTGTTAAGTGTTTTCAAGAACTATTTTGATGTCCAATGTGTAAGCCCCTTGTGTCGGTCTGGCTTAAAGCAATCACTCCTGTGAAGCATGGCTCCAGGGGTTTCTTCCCGAGACACCTGGAGGTTTCCCAGGTGCTAGTGTCTGTAACTCATCAAGCCTTGCCCTTAGCCCATCAATATTAGAGTCAAGAATAAAGCTGATCTATCCATTACCTTTCACTTGAAAAGAACTGGCACAGTCAGTTACAAACAATAAAATCTTTGACAAGATAAACACTAAGATTGCTAAGTGATATTGACATTGGAAATCAAAATCATGAGAGAGTGAAAAATAATGTCATTTTTTAATGTCATCTTGCAGCCAGACCTTTTCTACTTTCAGGGCAGAGTTGATTGGGTGTGTGTGTGTGTGTGTGTGTGTGTGTGTGTGCGTGTGTGTGTGTGTGAATGAATTCTCTGATGTTTTAATTTAACCGGGTTCATGGCAGCAGCCACATTTTCTGNTTTGTGTGTGTGTGTCTCTGTTATACTACAACTTATAATAAGTTTTTTGGTGATTGCCAAGGTAATATTATGAAGAAAACTTTTATCTTTTCATCAGTGATGCTTGTCATGTACCACAAGGGTACAAGAAGATTAATTGTATTAGATTAACTTAATCTAATACATTTATACTTTTTTCTGTTTAATGTTGAACATATTTAACATAGATACCTAGTCATATATTCAGGGGCATGACTACTTAAAAGCAAATTTTGCACAAGTGCATAATCAAAAAAGTTCAAAGACCACTCTAGTGGACCTGAAGGGGAGAAACTCATTCCTTGTTTTGAGGTCATTTATCAAAAGAGAAAAGCAAGTAAAAGAAAGAAAAAATATTTCGCTGTAGTATACATTTTATATTTTTAATTAAATACTTTTAATTAAGTTTCTTGTTGTTTCTGTGTTGTTTGAGGAACTTAAACTGTTTTTCTAGTAGTTTCATTTGTGTCCTTTCATGTTACTTACCTTCATTAATACCTTCGGTGTAGCTGCAGAAGGCAAAGAGCAAGAGTGTTGTGTACTGGTGCCTGGGCATTGCTAGAGCATCATATACTTGGGAATATTTTGTTGACTGTCTCTTATTTTCATCATCATGTTAATGAGCTGTAATTAGCTTTATTGAGATAATTGAGTATGTAATCATTTTAAGAGTTCATGTGTAATATATGAGCTTGGGCTTTTAGAATAAGTAGTTAAATGCTTCCTCTTGAAAGTGTGATGTGAATTACCTTCGCCTTAGGCTAATCTTGAAAGAAACCTCTCTTGATGATCTCCCTTGAAAAAGTTATTGGTCTTGGCTGGGTCCAAGGTAGAGTGTACTCTGCTAACTTTACTCCATGGTGAGATTAAATGTGTCAAAACAAAATTTTTGATAGGGGGAATAGAGTTTTAGTAAAATTGAGATGTTATGATGTTAACAGAAATTAACTCAAATTTCATTTTCCTTTTAGTTCGCAGGAAGATGAAAGACCTATGTCACCTTTCTATTTAAGGTATTTATTTGATTTTTATTGGTCTGTTCCAGGGAATTGGGGGAGGGTTAAGAATTCTTTGGTTTTGTCTACATTAATTCTTCTCAACAGAATATTCTGTCCTGTAGCCAAACTAAGCTGATTATAATCCCTTACCATAATGTTCATGCTATATTTTTCTCTCTTTTGTTTAAGAAATCTTTAAAAAAGTTTTAATATAGTTGAAAAGACTAAAATGAGATATTTGGTTTTAAATTCAAAGATGTCAAAGTAGTCATTTTAATTTTGAAATCTGCCTAATGATCAGGCTGTAACCTAAATTTTAAAAACTCCATTCTACACATATATGCAAGTAGGGAGGGCTTTGAGCCTAAGGCTCACTTGCTGAAGTAGTCTTAGGTGATGTCGGATCATTTTATATATGGTAGTAAAGTATGAAACTAATATTCAGCAAGTTCATGGAGTTCAGGATTATTTTCTAAAGTTTACGAAGTCAGAATGAAAACTCTTGAAACAGGTAAGTTTACATCAAAGTAGATGTTCGGTGAGATCACTTCCCTCCAAACTAAAAAGTTTTTGCATTGATGTGATTATCAGTGAACCACCTCATTTAGGTAATGACCTGGAGCCAGGTTTTTCTTACTTCTGCATTTCTTTCCTCACTACCTACCTACCTCAAAGGCTTAGAAAATATATTTTAAAAAAAA